TTAATACATTGAATATAGGAGTTATAGCATTAAAGATAAAACTGATGAAACTGATTGTGATTTGAATGGATGAAGCTGCCTGTGTAACTTTCCAACGGATGACCTTTCCATTACTTTTCATTCAATATTTTCCAACAAACACTTCACAAAGTTCGCACTAGGCCAATCAGACTTACACATATTCATATTTATAGCAGCCTACAACTTCCTAAAATTTTATATTACTTGAAGTTCACTCACATGCTTGTTTCTATATTATAGCCATTGGATTTTAGGTTGTATACTCACGATACTATGATACCTAGCAAATAATGCATTTGAAGATGATGCAGTGGTAACCATTGATTGAATGATTTAGATGATGATATCAATGATGATGGTTTTCAGTTTGACAATAATGCAAGTGAACATATTTTGGTTGGATTGAATGCCGTCGTCGAACTTCAGGCTATTAGGGAAGAAGATATGGGATCAGATGACAGCTACTGTCCAAGTGAAGAGGATTTGCACATCGATTATTCTTCCAATGAAGCAAACACTTATCATTTCCCAGTTTATGATCCAAAGAAGAAGTTAGATCCTCAACTGGAGGTTGGAAAACAATTTAAAAATATAGAGAAGTTTAGGCGAGCAGTTAAGAACTACGGGTAGCAACCAGGTACAACTTTAAGTCCAGGCCTAATGATGAGTTTAGAGCCCAAGCCATTTGTAAACATGGAGGATATGGGCATTATGGAATAAAAAAAGGGTGCGTGCAGATAAAGTATAAAAACTCATAGCATACATGTACGAGGGATAGAACAAATAGGCATTGCACTGTTAAATACATAACACTGTTATATATATATATATACAGAAATGATCTAATGATAACTTAATTGTTAAGTTATCAAAATATCTTTTGCTACCTATATATACTTGGTTGGATGGTTTTTTTTTAAAAAAATAATGAGATTAGTTAGTCTAGGTTTTTATATAGTTTTATCTCTATTGTTCTTCCTAGTTTTTCTTTCTCTTTTCTTTAGTTTAATTTAGTAGTTAGGTTTAGTTGGATCTTGGCTCATTTTGGTGATGAAA